TGATCGGTCAGGCGAGATGTGCTCTTGCGTTTCCGTTTAGTAATTGTCCATCCGACTCTTAACCTCCAACTGGACAGCCTCTTATTTTCTCAGCAGGATGCAGCACAGCATCCCATGCAAATCTTTGTGGTATCCCGTAAAGGGGTACAGTGCCGTTAGTATTTTCTTGAATAAAATTCAACGTGCTTTTTTATTACTGTATATCGATAAGGTCTATAGGACACTTGGTGACTCTTAGTATGCATTGGGTATTATATTTCAATAGCAAGCGAGTTATTTTTTTTAAACAAAACTTGAAAAACTAACGTCATCGTTATCTCTAACGGATATCCATTGCCGCAACTTTCTTAACCGATTGACTCATAGGAATTGCATTAGATTAAGGCCTTATGATTGTGCTTATTGCTGGTTTGCGTTAAATATTAATAGACACTGTATAGGGATAATTTGTGATGATAACGGATATATAAAGATTTATATATAGTAACACAGACTCGTTGTAAAAATTAATGTTGGCATATTTTATTAGTAAAGATTAAATACTTGAAGTCACGCGTGTCGTGGAAATTTGAAATATTTATCAAAGCCATGTCAACATTGTCAAATATGGAAAAAGGGCTTTTTCGATAAACGTCGAAAATTTCGAAATTCGATAATTACTGTGAAACGGACAGGACGTGAAGCGGAATGTCGTAGGCGACTAGAAATGGCGTAAAACTGTGTCACGGGAAGTCACTTTTAAATCCCGTAAAAGTTACTATCAGCTTGCATTGGCACCTGTTAACCGAGTTACATTAAACAACGCTCTCCATTTCCTTGGTTATTAATGTTTTTTTTTTATTTACGTAACACGAAATTCCATTGATACGAAAACAGACAAAAGATAAAATAAAATTTATATCGGACAAAAAAAGTCAATTAAATAAAGATCAAATGAAAAATTCACTCATGTTACTTCATTCAGTGACATTCCGTTTCCGGCTTTCGTCACGGTCAGGTAGGTCAGGTTCCGCCGGAAGTGGAAGAGAGAATCATTGTAGAATCAAAAGACGGAAATGGCGTTCACGTATCTTTGACTGATTGAATTAATCGACCGAGTACATGTAACACACACGCACGTGTTCATTGTTCATAATAAAATCGCAAGCGAATCCACCGGAAGTCCAAAAGTTGGTTCCGCTAATTAAATTATTTGACAATAAGAAGAAATTTCTGTAAAATAAAAAATCATAAAAAAAAATTTTTCATCTCCAAATTATGTATACACCATCAACGTCTACTAAAACTTTATATATGCACAGTGTATGACTATGGTGTTTACTAACAAATATATAGATATATAGATAAATACACAGATCAACCCCCATATCCTATCACGTGATATTCCTATGTAATCACATTAGCGTGTCTTATCATATAGGGAAGTTTTGAGGCGGGACAGTGTAATGGTTCCTGTCTTCGTGGGGGAGCGAGGGGGGTTGAAAGTGCAATGGACGACCACACCTTAATAAGGGCGCGGTTCAGGGTGCGGCACGATTGCACAATGCCCACGTGGGCTATCCCTTATATTTTTCCTGCACATCCCTATCTCGTATTCGCCATAGGTAATGGTAATACTGCGTGGTTAGCCATATTGCGAAGGGGTTGTTAAGCCATGGGGTGGCTGTTGTTTGATGGCTGTACAACGTGCCATGGCTTAGCTCTCATAAATCGCAGAGACTCGTAGACCCTCGGTGGCGCCTTTGATCTGTTTGCAATTGGGCTCGACAATTTTCATGGACAATTGCAGAAATATGCGAGTCCGATGAGAACGGCGACTCTTGGGCGGCTTGATATAATTAAACAATAGGATCAAAATGATTTGTGTTTACAATGTGTCTAAGGTGTCTTAGTCATAACTTCTTCGTCACTCAATACTCAGATAAGATAATTATTTTGATTACGTATAAATATGGCATTGTTATAGAATGGATTTTGACCACTGTGGTAGCTGGATATTCTTATCGTCAGTAAACAGCTGTTCGAGTTTCATTGCTACCGATACGATATTTGTTAGATATTGATGCGACATAAAAAATTTGTTGGAGTGAGAGAGTAAATTTGGGGGGGGAGGGGGGAGAATTTTTATTAAAATTCCAAAATTTTTCAACTTCACTTTTCTACAGGAAGTGGAGCAAATTTCCAGCTGCTCCTTATGGGAGACCGTCTTGAGGAATACTAAGAATTTACAGAGCGTATAATACGAGTCAATCCCTGACCAGGAAACAGTTGACCCGTGTAACCAGCAGCCACTCCTGGATCGATTTAGATCTATGGATCGATATGTAGGTATTTTTTTGTTTAGGGGTTCGCATCCTGAGACGGAAATTAAATTAAGAGAGTCTGTGAGCAGAACGGTAGGTACGTCGAGATGATTAATATCCGTGAAAGATTTTGAAGAGATACTTCCGGTAGATAATACTGCATGGATTTTTTTTTCACCATAAATAAAATTAGGGAATGAAGTTCCGGTCTCGAACCAAAAAAACCAATCGTTAGTCGGGATATCTAATGATTCGATAATGCTTGGATGACTCGGCTGCTTCTACAGGTTCCGGTCTCCCACACCCCTTGTGTTTGATTGAGGTTCACCATAAAAAAAAGAACTATACACACCTTTTCGGCCATGGTGGTCGTGATTTAGATGAATTTAAAATTTAATGAATATACCCCACTCTTATAAATACAAATATTTCTCAAGGGTTGTATAATCAATGGTATAATGTACAATGGAGACACTGTTCTTTGGTTACCAAACAAATATCGGTCAGGTTATGGTGTCCCATGGTCGACTATATTTTATCTCGGAAACGCAATCCCTGCTGCAGTGGGTTATCTCCAGTAAAAAAAGCAGCAAAAATACCACGTATAATAATTAAAAAAAAAACACCATACACGAAACCGTAAAAGAAGGTACATTGCGTGCTTCGCGTGGATACGCATAACTAATCTTATCAGTAACCCCATAACATTTTCACACACCCAATAAAACCCAGTAGAAAATAAATCGTCTGTATTCAGAGGGACGAGCTGCGGTGGCACAACATCATTAGGAAAACGACACCCATGGGAACCCCATGGCGTTGACCATGGGGATAGATAATGCCCCATCGGAAGGTTCCCCCAATCTATAGGACACGAAGCAATTCCGGATATGGGACTTGGCACGCAGACCGGAAGTGGGCAGTGTAACGGTGAAGCCTCCCAGAAGGTCATATGCACACCCCATAGATTTAATTCTAATAATAGAAACATGTTTGGGAGACTTTTATCAGTGATATAATATTCTTTATTTAAATCCCCATGGAGAGTTTAATTTTTCAAGCTGGGTAATACTGCCAGTCTCCTTTAAGGCCCAAGGAACAGGTTCGCCTTGCAAGGTGAGATGCATGCGTACTACCTTCTTCTTTTCACTCTGGGTGCATAGGAGTGTGCGAGCGTGTGTCACGCAAGGGTACACGCATCCCGGAATGGCACATGAAGTACCCATGCCTGTGGGAAAGTAACACAACACCATGGGACCTACCGGCTGGACCGTTCTGCCGAACTGCCATAGCGCATACTTTGCCCATGTGTGACAAGACTACCGTAGCAGGTTTTGAGGTAAAAGCTTGACCACCGTGATTCCGAGTAAATTCCATTCTTGAAAATCCCATAAATCTCCATGAGATTCGCATAAAAAAAAATATACATTCAAAGTATTAGAGATAATTAGAACTATAATGAAGTAGTAGTCGATGACGTCTAGGCTATTTATAATTCTTTGGTATCGATATAGTCAGATTGGACCTTATCGCTTGATAATCTCTTACAGGTCTCATGTAACAAATTTTATCTCCGTACCACGTGCAAGTGCGATGATCACGTTGCGCAGCATCCCAAGGTAAAATTTATCTCGACTATGCAGCTGCGGTCTTATCAGTTTTGTCGTAATTCAATTTTCTGCCAAGAGATGCTCGAATGCAACTATACGAGCGAGCTTGTCCGCGCTGGAATAAAGTGATCCTTGTTTGAATAAAGTAAAGCCGAGTACACAAGCAAAAGGAAAATCGCGACCGTGCGCTTCGTTGAGGTCGTGCAATTTTACGTTGCGGCTTCGTCTTGAGAGTTGCGCTTCTTGATCTTTTAAGAATTTCTTACTGATGCTGGCGCCTTGGATAGTCTTAGAGGCCTGCGACTGTCGCACATTAAGAACGCTCCTCGAAGATAGCTCGTCGAGGTGTAAAAGGTCCAAATCGTCCAAAACGACTGCGAACCAGGAAAAACGAGCGGATCGTAAAATTCTTTGATCCAATGAACGGTGCGATCGCTCATCGTCAGATTTTTCGACTCGATAATTACTCCGTGATAATTTATACTTGAATTAACGGATACTGCCACTTTTTGTTATACTTCCTACCAGTTGCCCCCCACTACTGTCATCACGAGACTTGGGTGGTTTTGCGCTCCACACCTTTTTCGGGCAGGTAGCTATAGGTACCGAGTTACTAAATTTTCTCTCCCACCCACATAACCTTTTCTGAGAAAGGCAGTCGAGATTCTGTATACCTGGCCGCCATTTTTCTTCTGTAGAAACCGACTAGTTTGTCTGCCCTTAGGGAGACCGTGGACTAAGGTCAATGAGATCTGATCGAGAACAATTTTTTTTAACTCTCACACGACACCTCAGGTATGTTTGATAGAGGGGGGTGACAGTCCTTTTCTTGAATTTTTTGGTGAAAGGGGAAATATTCGAGGGAGGATAAAAAAGAAAATTTTGAAATCGGTACTACCGTGGCGCTGTAGGTGGTTCTTTGTTGAACAGAGAGTAGCTCGGCTCTTTAGATATAAGGCGAGAGAATCAAAAGAAGCTTTATAATAACGTCTTCTACGTTCTCTTACGAGATCTTCGGACTCACGCCCTTTTTCTTACCAGACTTTTACGCCCACGCACTCACGCGCTCATCCACTCGTGCACCGAACACGCTCGTAGGAAGGTCGTTTTGTTTCCTACTCCTCGCCCGCTTACTACACTCTCTACGCGACTCAGAAGCCTCAGTCGTAGCGTAGCGCTCGTAGTGTGCATATCGCGTGCAGGTTTGCGTCCGCCTAGAAAGAGTGCAGTGATGATAATTTGAGTAGTTATTTGTTTTGTACAAAAATTATATCTGAAATCGTCGTACTAAAAAATCAAACCAAAATAAATTTCTTAAAGGCATAATTCCTGGGAGTTGTTTATAACCGACTTTCCAGCAGACTTTTATGGAAAGAAACTTTGAAACAACATTTTTAGTTTCTTTCACAAGTGTCAATTCGTTCGTGATATTTATGTCTTGCTAAAGTCTTACTAGACAGTGACTTGTGTCTGACAACCTAGTGCTGTGTTCATAAACATTACGTAAATTTCTTCATTTATCCCGGAGGTGTTGGATAGTGAACTTGGATAATTTCAATGCCACTTGTTTGTCGTACAAACATGATTCTCGTGCATTGATTTCACAATAAACGGAATTTTCTTCGATTGGCAAGAGTGAGTATCTGTATATAATTAATTAACATGGCTTTCTACATATTCACAAGTATAAATCACTATTGTATCAAATCTGATATCAGAATTTCTATTGGACTGCATAGAGCCGCTTTCTCAATCATAAAACAGTAAAGTATGAATTCCCTTGGTATTATTCGATGACTATTTCCATTCCAATAGACTGTACGACATAACGAAGTGACTATTATTTCCAAGAAACGAATGACTGACGTCTGTCAGTAATCCTGGAAGTATTTGTCGCATTCGGTAACGTAGCAGAAAGATAGATCAGTTAACGATCTTTCATCCTAACGACTTCAGACTCCAATTATTCAAAAGCCTAACGAGCAACAGTTTTAAAAATACGAATACCTCTATCCAAAGCCAGTACCGATCTACTGTTATGTCTAGATAATATACGTGTCTCTTTCTCTTGTTTTGTAGAAATCAAATAAAGGATGCTCAAACACGTGTCGGTCTCGCCGTGGCGGGGGCGAGCAGATAGCGTCAGTCTTGCTTCAAGTGGTGGTGCTAGTACCTGCGGAAGTGGAAGCCCAACTCCTGGACATACGCCACCGCCCTCGAGGGCATCGTCGTGCGCCTCACTAGCGCCTCTAACGGCCCTTTCGAGCTTCTCACCGGCAGACTCAGCACCCCAACAGGTCAGTCCATGTTGAATATGCAAATTTTATTTTCCTACAGTCGAGTTCACAACGGAGCGATTCAGTGTAGATTCTATACGGTTTTAACGATACATTCATAATGCGAGATGGTCGGAGGAAAAACGTATGACGCACGACTAAAAAGGAATGTTTGTAACAAAAATTTAATTCGTCCAATTGGCGCCGCTAAACGTCATTCGAACTGGTTGGAAATTCAACGCGCAGAGACAAGGACAAAATAATTTTCGCTGTGCTGGTTGCGTTACGTTTACATAGCGAAAAATGTTTATTCGACACTTGGCGCTGGGTTTCGCGTCCTACGAGAGTCTCGATTTCTCACGCGATTCGACAGCCAATGACAACTCTCGAATCATGGACATCTTTTTGCGCCCTAAGAAATACGAGAGCGAGTACGAAATGTCTCTTGCAATCGGTTTGATGGTTTGGTATACGAAGTTGCTTCTACGTTGCGTCTCACAGACTTGACAGAAGCATGTGTTCCTTTTTTTTTTTTGACGACTTCATCGAATTTGGTGAGGGAGTCTACGAAGGACCCTTTTTTCCCCTGCGTATAGTTACTCTCTGTAAGTTACGTAATTGTAAAGAAAAATTTGCTTAGATTAACAAGACTCGTCTTTGACATCGATCCGATTTTTAAAGCGTATTATTTTTTATTGTTTGTTTTGTTATCTATTGATATTCAAATTTGAAAATATATCATGGACGCTTTTACTCTTGCTTGCTTGTTCAACATGCGTCTGTGGGCTAACGAAAGTAAATATATCTGATCCAATTTTTTTTTCTTTCGATGCCTTCAGTCGCTACGCTGAACGCACTGGATCTTCTCGGGTTAAAATTCTTTGAAAAATTAGAAAAAAAAGTGTGTAAGGTAAAGTGACGGAAAATGAAGTCGCACCTGTTGTTAAAATAGATTCGAGTAACAGGTATCGGGTGAACACGAATAATAAGGATCCCATTGAAATTTGGCCCTTTAAAATGTATCATGGATACGTCAGTGGGCTTTCAGCTATGGCGGCTCGACAATAAGAGCGGCAGGTTTCTCGAGGTTTTTGTCAGAGACGAAGAATCCTCGGTGGGAACTGCGTCTCGAGGTCGTCGCACATTGCAGCCAACTGAGCAGTGAAAAACTCCCTGTACTATACGTTAACCACGACCAGGCCACTTAATCGCGTTAACTCTAAGTACCTTAAGTCCTACCAGCTTCTTCATCTGGTACCACCAGGGTACTTTGTATTTATTATTAAAAAAATATTTCGTTTGAAAAATTTTTTATTCACATTTTTATTATACATTCGTAGTAATTATTCCTCGACAAATTTCATCCTGAGTCGAAACCAGTTTTTCTTTACCATTTGCACAACTGTCTGTTCCATATGATTAGGCCGCACTTTCAATAATTCATTTCCTGTGCTCACTCTACTGTGATGATTAATTAACGCTTACTTGTCGTCCACGGAAGTACCGTAACCAAAGTCAAAAAACTTTACAATCTCTAGGCAGTTGGTAGGACGTAAACGCAAAGTGAGAAATCGATCTAAATAATTTTAATAAGAAAATTTGATTGAAATAATTCAAAATGGCGCATCGTCAGGTAACTCGTCCTTTTTCCTGATGACTCTTATACAGTCTATGCCCGAAGGTCTAGATGTCTGATACCACGCGAGCTTAGGGCTAGTTTACATAATCCCGTTGAACATGTGCTGGCAAAAAATGGAGAAAATAAACATAACCGCGCGTCACTCGACACCCGACGTAGAACCTGAGATCGAAAGCAACCAGAAATACTTGTAGGTTTCTTCCTAAGGAATTTTTAAGGTACTAGTGACTTTTTACTTGTATCCTCAAAGCGATAAAATTCGTCTTCGTAATTTTCATTTAGTTCTACCATTCTCTCTCTCTCTCTCTCTCTCTCTCTCTCTCTCTCTCTCTCTCTCTCTCTCTCTTTTGTTTTTTGTATCTCTCTTACTCCCTATGTTCTTCGCTGTTCTCCGACTCTTGCAACATCCGGCGCGGCGGCCCGTGCTTCCGCTTCTTAACGTCCAACGACTCTATCTGTCTTTGCCCTGGAGAACAATCCTTCTAGGTTCGTCCTTGACTCGGTGATTAATCTCTGAAATGGAGAACGTACACATAGATTATTTATGTAATAAGTACTATGTAAGATACAAGTATATATACAATATATATAAAGATCTTTGAAATAAACGTCAAAATGACGTCTTATCGTTTTCTACATTGTTTATGAAGGACATAGTTTTGTAGTAAGAATTACGTACGACTAATGACATGTGAATGTAATATTTTTTTGTAATTTTTTTAATTATCTCGAGATTACAGCGAGCCTCTTGAACGGTGTTGGGGACCGAGAAAATTGTTTAAGAGAATTAGTTATCCCAACCCGCATATTGTCAACGGAACTGTCAAAATCTTTATACGTCCTCATATGGCGGTGGGGATGACACAATAGATTATAATCAGGATACGACTCATCCAGATCTCCCTGTTTGAATTCGAGGATAAGGTCCCCTATGTAGAATCCGAGCGGAACGTACAGACAGGATTGTCTTAGGCGTTTCAGACGAGACAGATTAGATTGGTCCATGTGAGATGAGGCTGGGATAAAAAATTCGAAATTTGAACGTTATCGCCTATTACAGTGTCGAGGTCAATCATCTGGGCAATCATTTTCTAATTAACAGTGCCTTGATGACCCTTCGATCTAATTACTGTCATTCCGATCGTTTCAAACGTATAAAGAGTATCTACGCTTCTCCTTTCGTTAGGGTAATTATTGTTTATTATCTCTCTCTATTACATATCTCGCTGTCGACAGTGCTGAGGATGTACTCTGGTAACGATTACAAAGAATATTTAGAATTTTTGATTTTTCAAATTTTTAATCAAATTTTTTTTCTCGAAAATTTGACCTCCCATTTACGGCCAAGAATACAAATCAGATAGAGCGCAAATTTTTATGTAAACAATGGCCGCTTCCTAAAAACAACAGTCGAAATTGCCGGTTTAGATAAGAAGCGTACATTCGGTGAACGTCATCTGTCGATAACTTCAGACTTCCGACTGAAAAGATAAGGCCCTCCGGCCCTTCCCTTTTTTTTACGACTATCACACTACTGTCTACTCCACCAGAGATCTTCGCATGCCGTATGCTGCTGGACCTGTTTCCTACGTAGTGCTTACTTTGTCTTGTCTATTTTTTCTCTCTACTCCATTCTACCTCCGTCCTACCTTTTCCACGAAATTCTTGTGGATCTTCGCTTCCTCCATAGATTTATTACCTCCCCTTCGACCAAACGAATACACACGCTTTCGTAATTTCAGTGAGAAGGAATACCGGACGTAATTTATTTGGCGGGATTATTCAAATATTTGTTTTAATGTTTAAAAAAATTCTTTCTTTTCATCTCGCTATGGGCTATGGTTTTTGTCGTTGAATTCTCGAAAATTGAAATATTTTTTTTTCAAAATTTTCTTCATTTCCTTTAATGCAATATCATACTGCAATATATGCAATATGTGTATATATATATATATATATCAAAGTCAGTGACTGGTAAAACCAGGTCCGTCTCGCGACTCCAGACTGTCGCTTTTGCGAAGGTCAGTGAGAAATACTTCGATTCTCTTACGTCATACTTCAATTATTATTCTCGCGAAGTACGACAGATCAACCGGATGTAGCGTTTATCCGGAAGATATTGCTAGTCTTACAGAATACAAAGATTCATTAAAAGCTAGCTAATCAGTCCAGTGACTGGACGATTGAGTCGTTTATAAAAATCCAACGTGGCGACGAAATTAAACGTCGTTATAATATGCGTGTTAAACGTAATTTCACGAGTATCATTACGCACGTGAGATCTAGTAAATTCCAATCGAATGAATGCGGCTGCGAATCACCGCGGGACATTGGTCACCCTGGTGAAAGCAAACCGTAGTACCTACATATACGTTTCTTGGTATAGATTTTTAAATTGAATTTATCAATAAGAACTTTATCCATTCATGCCACTGCAAGGATCAAGTATTGAAGTAGATTTGCACAGGATACAAATAATTATGTTATTAAATTTATTCAATTTTCTTCAATAAAAGATAACGATTGATTATTATACTCTATTGGGTATAGATACGTGTGTATATATATGGACTTTTAAATTTCCTCGAATGTTTCACAATTTGTCGAACCTCTCTTATAATACTGAAAATCTATTAATGGTCGGCACGTCACGTTAATAAATTCTTAACGCAATTACTCGTCACTCGAACGCTAGAAGGACTTATGTCACCGCCATGCAGACGATGACAAATCGTGTCAAAGAGTGGGTTTGGAATTGCATTCCGAGAATTTATTGGCCGCTCTCATCGTCCTAGGATAAATCAATATTGATATCATGAGACGTATAGAAAGTATCTAGGTGCAATTTAATTTTTTATTTTGATTAAAATCCTTCGACGTAGCTTTTTTTTTATAGACACAAATATCCCTAGGCTATTATTACTTTCGCTTAAGAGATCGAACGCGCGGACCTAAGGCATTTAACGGTTTTTCACGTACGTATACGTATTTTTGGAACTTTATTTATAAAAAAAAAAAAATTCGTCTCGATCTTACCGTTTCTCTTTTTCATCCGCGATTCTTTCTCTGGGTCCGTTTCTGCCAACCCCTTTTGTAACATCTGGCCCGAAGGTCCCCAACAGCTCCCATGCAATTGCGGTAAACTCCCAGCAGATGGCTACGCGCGCCCGAGTATTCGTGCCACGGCGTACAATGACGATTGCAACACTTAGCATTCTTCACGTACGGCATTGCGGGTTGCATGGCTTCTTTATGGGGTTTGAATAATGATACCTTACGATCGGTAGTAACAATACCATGGACAAGGGAGAATTGGAAACTCACAGGGAGATTCCATGCGACCGTCATGGATACAGCAAGGAAAACCCCATCCTGTCGATTG